CAATATTAACATTTATAACACGAATATCGAATTTCGCGGGAACTTCGATGTTACAGGTACATATCCCACTAGTACCGTCGCGTTTCAAGCTTTCTGTCCCTTTTATTTTTTAGAAACATATATCGATTGAGAAAACCGTTTCGTTACACGCGCGTTCTGTGTTTGTCCTTCGTGTTTTGTCTCACAATACGTAGATAATTTTGATAGCAACGCGTTATGGCGAGTCATTATCGCGTTAATGGAAGGCGACACAACAAAAAAAAAAATTATAAAAAATTATACGATTTAAAATACGATATTATATCATTCGGAATAAACGCGAAGGGTTTTCGAATGTTCGTTGCTTCTGTTCTGAAATAACCCTGTTTATCGCTAGCACAACTATTTCATGACAGATTACTCGTTCATTGATCAATCCTATTAATTCAACATTGATTATTCGCATGTACATCGCCGACGTATTTCAAGAATAAAATAAGAATAATTGTGTAATTCTATCGAAAGTAAAGTCCAAAATTCCAAATAATCAAGAAAGAAAGAAATGATTGCTACACCTACTTGAATATTATTTCAGGCTTGTCAAACTACAAAGGAATGAAAGAAGGATATGTAATAGTTATTTCATAGATACAAGTAACAACGAACAGTGACTTGAAATCAAGTTGTAACCACGTTTAAGCGATATCTCGATATCCATAGATCTTCCTCTGTGCTTATCGTTAGAGTATCACACCGATCACGGGAAATGTATGCGTGACGAGGGACACGCTACCAACGAGAGTAGCCAATTTTTCCCCATAGCCAACGTAAATCAAAGCTTCGACCCGTTTACCTAACACCGATGGTAATTCACGGCCAAGTTGGTGGCGTTCAAGTCAGAAGACTTATCTCGCCGTATGAAAACCGTGTATCGCGGACAACTGTCGGGCGCGTGTATTACGGACTGAGTACCTACCTTGATAGTGAACATAATCTCTCTGTCACACGGACACCGGCGATGAAGCGGTTAGGATGCAGATGGGTTGGTACTTGTGCTTCTTCGTCAGATGCTTCGCCTCTTTATATACACGACCGTAGCAACGTGGTACAGTGAAAGGGGTCATCCCTGCCCTCTTCACAATGCACTTCTTCTGACCAGTGCATCTTCGGAAAAATGTGCTCGGATGAATCGAGGAATTGGAATTTTTTATCTTGACGCTCGATACGTACAACGATGGTCCATGGCCCGTCTATTAATTTCGGTACAGCGAAATTATCCATTGTATCGCTCGTGACTATGGATGATATCATCCTTATGGCGGATTTATTCTTCGCTCATCCTCCGGAAGAGCAGCGCGTCCAAGAATTTCGGACGTTTCGAGAAACACACGAGGTCCAGAAATCAAGTGACGGCTGTCGCCTTATACATTGGCGAAAGATTTTTTAAAAGTTGCTTTACGGATAAATGATTTACGGATGAAACATTTAAGGATTTAAATACCAGACAAAACAAGGTGATCATTAAAATGTGAAAGCAAATTGAAGAAACTTTTTGTGCGTATGGAGCAAGCCGTAAAATTAATTAAATAAAAGATGTCAAATATAATGACGAAAATTAAAATGAAAGATCTCTTTATCAATCAAAAAAAAAAAAAAAAAAAAAAATGTATTAAAGAATAAATTATTTTATGAACGAAATATTTATTAATTATTAATATTATTCAAAAGCGATAAAACTTATGCATATCCGTAATAAATCCGTATAAACGTATAATACAAAGAATAGGTTATTAAACGAAATCGAAATTTTAAGTAATTACTGGAAACAATAAAGAAATAAGGCAGAAGGTGAAAATTCAGAATTAAATAACGTACGGTAAAAAATTACCGTGAAAACTATGTTTCAATGAACAAATCCGAGTGTATGATTCATAGCACAGAATTTTAATTTCAATTTCAATTTCGTCGATAGCATCAGTTGTGAAATGCAGTAATATAACAGAGAAATACAAACAAGAAATACAAAAGATACGAGAGAAGTAGGAAGATAATTGCCATTTGTTGCAAGGTTCTACCGGATATTTGTTCAGAATTTTTATAAAGTCGAACAAAACAGGCTATGATTGAATGTATGAAGGGATGCAGTGTCTAGGTCACGTACAATTGTGTTAGCTGCGATTATAGAAGAGGAAATCTTCGTTTCCTTGAATCGTTTCTGCACGCACAGCTCATGACACGTTTATACGTATAGATGTACGAGTTATATACATATAGCGTCATTTATTAACATTGCATTTACCTGACGCAATATTAATTTCATTTCGATTACTTTTAAAAGCAATTTCGATATAGAGTTCGCGCTTTGTCATTGCTTTTAGCAAAATTAACACGAATAACAGCGTACTTTAATGTTTGAATAGTAATTAAGAGTTTTAAAATGTTGCAAAAAATAACGAATTGTTATTATAATTTATTTAGCAATTTTTTAATAAAAATATCCATTTCATAATAAATTGCATATTTGAAATAATATGATATTCAAAAGACAGAATTTTGGCTTCTTTTCCTTAGTGAATTTATTTAGCAAAAATCTTCGATAATCCAACAAGTGAAAGTCTTTTAGTATCTAAATAAGTAGAAACGACGTAGTCTTTTCACTAGAACTATTTATATCTACTACCTAGATTCTCAGAATTAAAACTTCTTTCTGAGGCTTCGCCGATTTAAAATAATATTTAGAAACCTTCTCCCAATCAATCGAAGCGACTTTTAACGACAACGAGATTTAAAAATTGGCAGGAATCAACGTAAAGGGTCAACGCAACTCTTTTCCCTATCGTTGCACTTTGAAGTTTGTTACTTCTGCCGTTTCTTCGTCTTAATTATAAAATATTTTCAATAAGTACATGCTGACATTTAACAACAACCTATCAGCTCTACTATTAACATATTTGCAACGTTTCAAGCACGCGATACCGAAACAAAACTCGGACGAAATAAAAAAAGTAAATTACCCAGAATTTCCCGCGATATTGGAATATCGGTGTTCTAATGCAACGGTCTTTTGCTTAACCCTGACATTTGCGGCGTAAGTTACAATCGGCGATAATGCATCAACGACTATTTGAACGTAATTTTCATAAATTCGCCAATAATCGTTTTTCTTGCCTCATCAAGTAGATACGATAATAATTACAAATACCTTTTCCTTTAATAGGATCGTAACTTTTCTTGCTTTATAACTTGCCAAATACAAATCTTCCTTGTTTCTCTATGCGAAGTGAAAATTACATCTAACACAACAATATTTTCTAAATAATATCAAGCAAATTTGGATAAACGTAGCCGAATTATTTATTTGTTTGTTAATCGAAAATATACTAACTGATAGAAGATCGATTACGCTTGGATAATGAGAAATTTACCTAATATCGTTAAAAACTGTAATATCGCTTTTAATTGTGCTTTTAATAGAGATTGAGTTCCTTTCAAGAATCACGTTAATTAACGGCATTAATTTAAGTAAACAACGCTCGTAGTTAAAAAATTACAACTTTACTCTTATCTTAAAAATAGCCGCATGTTATCTTAGATCAAAGTCCCCACCCGCATGTTATTAAGATGTAATTTCACGTATTCTGTGCATCGGTTTTTTTTTTCGTCGCCTTGAATAGCACGAGTAATCTGTATGATGCTTCTTCGATTTCTTGTTACGTGATAGATTTGATCTCGTAATGATTAACCGCAACGGATTTTTATTAGTCTTCGTTTCCTGCGGCAGGCATGAACATATCTACATGGCAGTACGCCACGAAACAAGAGAAAGGTACATACACACTAGGTATATTGTTTTGTGAACATGAAAATTCGACCATCGATTCGTAACTTAATTATTAGAATTCGCATGAATCCAAGTATAACGAACCGAATTTTCGATTCCATGGATATATGTAAACGTGGTGAATATGGTATGATCGTACGAATGCTCTGTTTGATTGGGAATTGTAGCGAATTCTTAATAAAAGAAATTCACTTTGTAGACACGTTTTTCATTCGTGTAATCTTTTACTTTGTTAATTATTTGCATAGAAATGAAACGTGGGACGGAACATTGAGAACAATGTAAAATATTACGTGTTTGACGACGTCGTAGTAATACCACATTTTTTATGTACATATAAAATCCGATTTTATGTTCAATATTGTATTATTAGGCGATTAAATTGAACGATGTAAAGTTTATTAGCTTTTGCGTCATAATTTAAAGAATAAATTCTAATACGAGATTAACTAATTGTTTTATTTATATCGTTAGCAATCATCGACGACTTCGCATTATGAATCACTGTTATATCGTTCAGTGATTCGAGGATCGACTCTCGCGACAAAGGCGCATTTTACTTGTATCCGCTTTCGTATCTCTTATCTCGACATGTAAAATCATCTTACCTCGTACAGGCATTTTATATGGGTAATTAACATGCTCGGATAATGCTAATAACGTGTATATAAATATTGTAATATGTATTTTCAAAATCGTTGGTAAATAGATTTTAGCAATTATCGTGTTTATTTTATTATCATTCGATGGATATTTCGCTAACATACTTCAGATTTAGAAAACAAGCACGAAATAAATTATAAAATAAAGAGGAGAAATTATCATGCGCTATTTAACTACAGACAATTTCTTTAATATTTTTAAATGGTAATAGTTTATTATGTAAGTACATCGAGATTTTCTTAATCTGCGTATACGTGAAACTTCGCCGCTATGATGTTGTTTAAAAATCTTTGAATACAAGTTGCTAAAAATATCATACAAAACTTTAAATAATGAAAACGATAAAACAAATTATATCTTCCATTTCTATTGCTCGTATCTTTCCTGTTTTAATTAAATCGAGAACGATCGCAGCTACCAAAGTTGTTCGTTAAATTGTTCGATAGAGTCAACGATCAATCACTTTCATTTCTCGTTAGATACATGTTTCGCTGATATCTTACACACTTGTCTTCGTCGTACAACTTTATGCTTTTAAAAATTCAACGCGCGATCAACGTTGATCGCATAAGGTCAAAACGGGAGCATTCGTTACATAATTTGTCACTGAAATATGTACGGTACGAAATCATCGCGTGGAGATTTCGGTGAAATTCATTTGTGACGTTAATGCTGATCGGAGATCTTGATTTGTTATTAATGTTCGGCTCGAATGTACCAGCCTTTCTCGTAGGATTCCACGGCCATATACCGACATTTACATCGTGTCATTCATGTGGCGCGACACGACGTCCTACACTATACAGTATAGTCGTACAGTATGCACGATCCTTTGGAAAACAATCTGCTTCCACGAACTAGGGAAATCGTGTACGCTTAATAAATGTAACAAGTTCATCTATTCAGCTGTTAGACGCAACTAGGTTCCTGGAATGTATACGTCTTTTGAGTGGAAATCATCGGAGCGACAAACGAGGACGCGCAATACCGTGCGCTACTGTTCAGGATGAAAAGCGAAATTAGCTCGCCTCATAAGCAATACGATTTTTACGGTATGTACATATATTAAGTGCAAATAAACAATTAGTCCTTGAAAATCGAGAAGCTTCGTTGTTAATACATCTCACTTGCGTTATAGAAAACAAAAGAAACGGAAACGCATGAAGAATTTCTTATATTTCGGTACATTTTATTTATCACGACTATAACTTGGAATAATATTTTGCATTATATTATATTACATTATTATAATGCCAGTCACTAATCAGATAATATTAATCACTATCCAGATCAGCAATTGCCGATCGTTAAGAGTTAATAGCTATTTGTATTGGTATTATCTTATCGTTTTAAATTCAGTTGTAAAAAAAAGAGCGTTACTTATGGGATGACCTAATAGAATGGTAGGACCTTTTCCTTGAATCGTTGGAGAAACAAATGGGAACGAAGGGTAGACAGAGTATATCTGTTTGAAGATTGAAATGCCAGTGTTTTCAGTCCTTCGCGGCGGTCGACCGCTGCTTTGAAACTAGTCGAACCGCAATTCCGTTTCACGTCAGCCGAGCTTCTTCTTTCTTTTTAATGACAACTGAAAGGTCAGAAAAATACTCGCTATTGTGACAGAAGGTGTGTCATGTAGATGCTCGGGAAGTCTGCGAATGCGCCTTTGATGTTCGACCTATCTATCCATCTATCAGAAACAATGGTGATAATGTGAGACGTATTTATTTATTCATTTAATCTTGAAATTTTTGGAGGAATCATAGTACATTAGATATATAGAATACATGTACACGTATATTTAATATCACAATTATCGGGATCGTAAAAGTAAAGAAATTAGTCAATAAATATTTGGCGGTTATCTTAGTTGCGAATGCAAAGAAGTTAATGAATATTAAGAAAGAAAGAGAGGAAATATACGTGATATCATTGATGATGAAACTCAGGTACGAAGAGGAGGCGCGGGCCGTTCACGCATAAGCGAGGGAAGATTCTTCTATCTAACAACCCTAGAAAGATTAGGTTAACAACTACGACGAAAAGAAGGCTGATGCTGCTTAAGTTACATGTTATAGAGGAAGAGGCAGTAATAAATTTATGTGTGACGCTTAATAATATCTCGTGACTCTGAATATTTTCGACAATAGGTAACTTGTATCGCAATAATTCGTTGCGACAAATCATTCGTGATTTCAATTTTTGCGTTCCCTTTTCATTAATTCCCATCGGTCTGCTGCCGATGACAGTCAAAAGAAGCAACATCCATCGATTGGATGATCCGCTCAAAGGCTCTTTGGTCACAGTAGCGTTTAACAATCAGAGTTAGACTAATTAAAAGTCATAATGTGCTTTGAAATGTTAGGTCACGTAGAAAGGGAAGTGGTGAATTCTTTCAATTCGTTTCATATAACAAAATTATAACAGATATAGCAAGCGTATGTAGCACCTCTGTAAACGAATATTTTTAAACAAATAATTATTTTTCAAATCCATTTTACATCACTTCGTAATTATTTTGTAATATTACCCAATCATATGACTACAGAATTTCTTTAATGACTATATTACATTCTTCGCTTGGAGATATTTTAATCCATCTTCCCGTATTCGAAAAGTGCAATTTACATTCCATTTCTATTTCAAAGTAGGTATCGATCAAGCGCAACTGCCTAACGAGACTGTACACGCAAGTATGGACAAATCATGCAGCTGTCTATAGCCTGTAGAGTCAGCTGAGAGAAGATGAGACGATCAGGTAAGTTATATACGAATAGATCTTTCGTATACATCATGCAAGTACTAGTATCGACGGATAGGAGCGGATTAATAACAATTATTTCTTATAATACTTTCGTTAATCTCTGTTTGAACAAAATGCCATTAACTAATAACTATAAATCCGCAAATAATTCTCGGCTTATGGTAGATTTAATTATTTTTATTTCGTTTCGTTTATTTAAATTCGTTCTGTGCGATGTATTTCGAAAGATTATCTCGTTACACTTTATAAAGTATATCTAAAAATTATTAGTAAAATAAATACAACATATCGTTTATTTGTTCTCCTTCGTTCGTAACGTTACGGATACATTGTATGTATATACGTTAATTAGGACCTTGTCCGTCCTACGTTAATTCTTACATCGTTAAACTTTAAACCAATAGTTTTCGGACACAAGTATTTTATATATACGTTTTCCATACAAAATTAGGGGATACTTTAATTGATATATGAAAAAGTTCCATTCCACAGTTCCGTTAAAAAAATTTTACGTCCTTCAAATATTTGAAACGCCTCCACTTCCGGAGCAAACACATACCTACACTGCGTAATCCATCATTTGCAAGAAAGAAGTTATTAATACACAATTTTCATATTGAAAATATGAAATATTGAACATAACATTATACATAACATAACATAACATTACACATAACATTACATACATAACATAACATAACATTACACATATCATTACATACATAACATAACATAACATTATACATATGAAATATTGTACATATTGAAAATAACTTAAAAATTATAATTCTGATGAACTACTATATATGTGTAAACTATAACTCTCCGGAACTACCTACGGTATCAAATTCTACTGGAAAACTTATACGAAAATAAAAAACGATGCAATAGTATCCAACCTAACAAAGTGATTTTATTATCCGCGAGGTATAATCGCGGTACAGAAAAAAAAAGGATCACCGTGTTCCGGGATCGAATTCCGTCTGAATACGCCCCTGTTCGCAGGCGTATTAGCTGTAATGCTAAACGCAGACACCTCGAGGCATGACGTAGCGCCCCATAGAAACGGCTACGTGCCATAGTGTCATAATGCGCGTCCTTTGAAGCCACTTTTCGAGTTGCGTAATCACATTTAATAACGACAGCCTGGCGATTACCGCTGCATCTCGACTCACCAGCCGCGATTTTACCTGATTTTACCATACGACGCCTTAAGGCTTAAGGGATGTCGGGAAGGTGAATCTTTACTGCTTCAACGTCGAATTAAATAATCATAAATTGCTACGAAAAAGCACGTTTCAAAATGTGCTGACTGATGTCAGTAACTCACAGACGGGATGAGCAGTAAGCGAATTCGTAGTAACGATTAAACAAACGAGCAATTAATGAAACGAGCAATGAAATTTTTGAGAATCACCTTTTTAGTTAATAATGAGATTTTTGTACAATTATTTTGAAAAAAGTTAATTTTGCTTCGATAAAATTATCTTTTTCCACGATTGAACTAGTATCATCAGCGAAGTTTTACAAGTGACAAGGTATAAATTAGCAATGCTGATAAATTTGCTTATATAATAGTAACTTTCGTAATAAAATATGCGAAATTCTACGAATGAATTTTACGAATTGCAAGTTGATTATCGACGTAAAATTGCCGTACAATCGACGATAGAATGGCGATCGATGGAAGAAAAAATTAATAATTTTAGAGATAAAACATTTAATAACTTTAGTCTATGCGTAGGACGGTGTCCTATGTGAAGAGATAAATGTGAAGAGATAAAACGAGAGGAGAAGAAAAGCAATAAGACCAACACAAGTTGTTGCAAATTTGTATCAATAGAATTCGTTATTTGTATTCGATAACGTTCCAAACTCGATATATAATACTGTTATGTAATGTCCAATACAGAAATGCGGTGCAGCATGGTGATAATTAATTACTCAAACGATTTTTACGATATCCACGCAATGTTTCATCATACGCGTAGAAATAGAGGTTGACCTATACCAGTAATTTCACTTATTAGCCAATTCACTAATTTCACCACATTTAGTATACGACTTCGCAAATCCGCCAAACTGGACGAGCCAGAACATCTCACTTTCTTTTCCAATTGTCGGCTCAAGGATTGCATACCACATACTTATGATGCAATTCTTGTCATCGTTTCATAGTTTTTAACCAAAATTGTCTTATTTAACTTAATTTTCCTATTAACCTTGATTATATGGTAAGGAACAACTTCAGGATACGGATGAGGCAAATTCAGACTCGGCAGAGATAAGAAGGATATGTAAAGTTAGTGAAAGTACGAGAAGACGCTTCGTGCTTATTAACGTAATTTATTTCTCCGTGGGACCGAGAATACTTTCATAATTTTTAATTTTCATAATATCTTACGATCATTGGTCATTCATTGGAAGTTCCAATATTCAGAAAATAAATATATGAAAAAGGAAAAAAAGAAAGCGACATGTACCTATCATATTTTCTTGTTCCTTCCTCCTTCTCTTTTAATATACATATATTTGGTTGTATTGCAGTATATTAGTATCATATGATATATATTAGTATATATCCTATATAGATATAGGTATAGATCCTATATCTTATTGTTACGCGTTTCCTTAACTAAAAGTAATAAAGAACAAAAGGATTCTAAAGTTTCTTCGTTTTGTTCCTTTTTTTTCAAAGATTTACCTCAGATTTGATTATTAGGAGCTACATTAGCAGAATTTATACTAAGTTTCACCGTTTTTACAAAAATTGCAACAAATTTCCTCTTACTGAAGAATGTTCCCCGCTCTCCTAAGATCTTTGTTTCCATTTACAATTCCGTAAAGAGGCAAACGTATGAAGTAACAATAGCGTACATCATCTACGTTTATCTTGGCATTCTGTCTATGAATACTCTTTAATAACTGGTTTTTAATATCCTGCTCGTCATAGTCTTTGATTATGTAGATCTTCAGATAACCAATGTTGTTTTCATGAAATCATCTTCGAGAATTCCGGGTAATTTGCATCTTCAGCTGCAATCAATACGTTTCCGCAGATTTCAATTTCTTTGAAATTATAGTAGTCTTTATGCAAAGAAAGTGCATATTTTAATCGGTTCGAATCTTTTCCGTAAACTATATAACTGGAAGTTTCTTAATGACTTCAAATTCAATGGCAACATGATTCTAAACAGAATTAAGTACGCAAGTAATTTATTCACAATGAACTCAATTTTATGATATTATCTCAAGTACGATCAATCAAATATCGCCATGAAATGTCCGTTGTACAATAAAAATCATAATGAAATAAAATAACACAACAGATAAGCATCACAGATGCTGTTAGAAGTAAGGCTAATTATAAGAATCGTGACAACCCCCCCTCCCCCCTCCCACCACTCAAAAAATCGTTTTGAATTAATTAATGTAACTGTTAAGATCGTTGCACCGTCGAAACAATGCGAGGTATGGCGAAAAAATGCCACGAAATCTTTGTTCAGTTGGAAGGCTACGGCGTAAAGATGGGTCAACCTTTCGCCTTGCGATTATGTAAGACCTCGGACTGACTGACCTTTAGGTTCGTTCATGGCATGCGGCATTTACGTAATTTACCGATTACGATGTATTAGAATCTTCTGTGTCTAGAAAATAGTTCTCCTTCCCGCTCTAATATTTTTAAGCTGCGCTATATATTCACCCTATTCCCCTTTTACTTACCCTTTACGCCTTTAATCGTCTTCTCTTTTGTCATCCACATTCAATTACCATGCCAACTTCTAGATGATTCCATTAAAACACGTAGGCTTAACACTACGTGTACTCGATGTTAGTTTTAAAAAATTCCATCCATTTTTTATGACAGTATATTTGATTTACAAATTAAGTATGTAACACTGAAAATACGTTTTATGATAGCAAGTAATAAAAAGGTATAGTAAGGTATAAGACTAAGTTTGAACGATATGAACCGTCCGCTTATCCTCCACTTCGCTTTCTCGTAACAGCCGTTAATGAATATCACGAGTGCGTGTTGCCATGCCCGTCGTTTTTACGCACTTTTAGTCGATTTTAATTTCATCGAACTGACAAAACGGTTACACGATATCTTGTTATATGCCACCTCGTTTGTATTTCTGAAATTGTTTTAATGCAACCGACGATATCTCCTAGAAGTTCAACATTTTGTGTACTTTTATTTATTTATGTAGATATATGTTTAATTAAACATATGTTCCTCCAATTATTACTGATTAAATTTCAAATTTCCAATAGAAATATAATTTGTTATAAATATAGTCTACTTAGTAATAAATAAAATATTCTTATTTTTCTATGAATGCTATAAATGAATATATATATATATAAATACTACTAAACCAAACTTAGATAAGTGATAGACGTAATCTCTGTAATCATATTAAAATAGATAAAGAAATAAAGATCTTAAAATCGAAAACTAAATCTGATTTGTTACAGTGAAAAATAAAATGTTCCTTTCAACTCAAAATGCCAAATAGTTTCCTATGGAGTATTAAACTCGTTAGCAGAAAACTTCGTAACTAGCGACATCTGGAAACATTGTATTTATCTTATCATGTAACAATAATGTGACAGCATTGACTAATTGTAAGGACAGTTCTGTACGTCTGTAATCTGTGAGTTGTACCTCGTCGGTTGACCCATACAATGATAGGCCTATGTATTCTGTATTCTGTACCTTATGAGTGATTATATAATCATCTTGATTGAATAATAAATTAATTTGTATTCTTAAAAATGATAAAAAGATATAGATAGAAAGACTACATAGGAAACCTTAATATTGAACTTTTGCAAGACTTTATTCCTAAAGCTACTTCATTAATGCAATCTGAAAAGAAAAAATAATGTTTGAACAAGTAGTGCAAGTCTTGACAGCAGGTAGAGTTGTATTAGCCAGTGGATCTCCTAGACGATATGAAATAATGAAGCAATTGGTAACTTCTTTATAACATTCATAAACACAGTTACTATAATATCAGAAAATATTTATGTATTATTGTAACCTTAGTAAATGACATAATAACCTATTTAAAAAAGCAAACTTTACATAAGTCTAATTTGTCATAAGCCTTAATATACATATAATTAAATATTACTAATTTGCGACAGTACTATAACTATACTAATATAACTATACTAGTACTGTAGTACATGGATATATCTATTTTGTATGTTAGGGTATAAATATAGAAGTAGTATCATCTACGTATGATGAAAATTTAGATAGATCGGCATATAAAAATTCTGGTGACTATGTACAAGACTTGGCAAAATATAAAGTGCAAGAAGTATATGATAGATTAAAGGAAGATGTAACACCACCTTCCTTAATAATTGGTGCAGATACTTTGGTTACAATGGGTGATGTCATTTATGGTAAACCAAAGAATAACTTACATGCATTTGAAATGTTATCAAGGTAAAATATAACTATATATTACTTTATACATAAGTAATATTAACGTCAACTTAACTTAAGTAAAAATATGATTTTAGTTTAGCAAATAAGGAACACATAGTTTATACCGGAGTATGTTTAAAAACGCCAAAGAAAGAAGTCAATTTTTATGAATCTACAAAAGTAAAATTTGGTGACATATCGGAAGAACAAATATGGGCATATATAAAATCAGGGGAACCACTGTGAGTAAAATATTTCATCTTTTTGTAAATGTTATAATCTTAATAATGTGAAAATATTGCTAATTGTTTCTTTTTTTTGCAGAGATAAAGCTGGAGGTTACGGCGTACAAGGTCTTGGCGGTTGTTTAATTGAAAAAATAGACGGTGATTTTTATACAGTAATGGGCTTGCCATTGTATTCATTGACAAAACGATTAAACGAAATGTTTGGTAATAACTAACATGAAAAAATACATATTGTTAATGAACTACGAGTAATTGATTTCATAATAAATGTTTGAAAAACAGGATAGTTTGTGTTATTTGTATCTTCTTTCGCTCAGTCTTCCATTTTCTTATTTATATTAATTTTAACACAAAATATACATTAGAATTTTATCTGCTGCAGCAGTGTATATTTCTTTTTATATCATTTTTTATTTTTTACATGAAACATTTTTTACATATAACTTATGAAAAATAGATTAATTTATTTATTTTTAAATCAATTGTTAATATTTTTGAGTTACCACCACAGCGCATGATTAAACGAACTTTTTCTTTCCTTTATTTTAAGATTAAACATATACTTATTGTGTTAAGCGAAAAGTTGTATTTTTTAATCTAGAGACGTTTGGTTTAGTTTGGCACTGCCAACATCATAAAATCAAAATGATTTTGTTAAAAGAACAAAGTCCAATATACATGTACATCTTTATGGTCGTTTAAACCATACATATAATGGCGCCTTGCTATTCTTACCAATAAGTAGTGACTGTAAGTAGAAGCGCATATGTGAACTTGCTTGTTTCTTTGCCTTTGACAGCTCAATTGCCGGACCGAAGTTGGTAGTTTTGTAATGAGTTCTTTGCTTTTAAGGTAGGATTTAGAACAGGATAAATTGTTTTTCGTAGTTTTCTTGCGAATTTGTATTAGAAGATGGAGGACGTTCTTGAAGAGGTTGTTTCTTCTGATGATTTAAAGGTACACTCTTTTAATAAAGAATACACGAAAACCATTCTTACTTGTCGACTCCTTAATGTTTTAATCACATATTTTAAATATATAATAAGTAATATAATAATATATAATTAATGTATGTAGTATGAAATATTTTTAAATATTTGATTATTAAATTTGCAAAATGAAATTTCCATTTGCTTATACTGTAAAATAACACTGAATGTGTCTATATAGCAATAAAGGTTATGTGATTTCTATTCATTTTTCTTTTGATATAAAATTATGGTAGGCTTTTTAAGGAATTTTGCAATTATATTTAATACATAATGTCTTTGTACGAAGCTTGTAATAAGTCTATATATTAAGCTCTAATCAAAATAAAATGACAACATTATTCATTGGTTACTCATACTTCAGAGATACACAAAAGTATTACATCATAAACCGAGAGATTAAAAAATGATTTTTCTGTTTCAGAAATTTGAACGTATATATAACGAACAATTACGTTCATCTGTTATAACACAAAAAGCACAATTTGAATATGCTTGGTGTCTTGTTAGAAGCAAATATCCTGCAGACATCAGAAAGGGAATAATGTTATTGGAAGATTTATATTGCAATCATAACGATAGTGAGAAACGAGATTGTCTCTATTATTTAGCTATTGGAAACGCTAGAATAAAGGTATGGACTTTTACGAGCCTGCTGAAACTTTTCAAAATAAACAGCACTGTTTAATTAGTATTTATTTATTTTCTTTATAGGAATATACGAAAGCTTTAGCATATGTCAGATCGTTTCTTCAAGTTGAACCTGGAAATCAACAAGTACAACATCTGGAAACATTGATCAAGAAAAAAATGGAAAAAGGTTTCTTTTTTATAAATTATTATTGCTTTAGACAGATAAAGTTTGTTATTCGTTTGATGCTTCGTCGTCATTTTGATGCTTTTACAGTCAGCACGTAGTATAAATCAATCATTTTATCTTTATTTTTTACAATAGTAATACTTTCATGGGTTAGTAGTTATTACATTTCCTTTAGTCAAAGTTAACTGATATTAATTTCATTTAATATCTTATACCTGTAAATAACTTAGATGTTATATCATGAATGAATCAAGAAGTCTGCACATTACTAACATGATAATTTCATTATGTTCTCTATACTAGGAAAGTACAAATGCTCTGTACCTGTGTATATATGTATACATGTTTATATTAAATGATATAGAAATTGCATTTTGCATATCTTTGATCTGAATTATTTTAATGGAACGAATAAAGAACGGACTTGCGTACTTCTAAAATGATAGCAGTATTTATCACATAGGTCTTAATACAATTTTATTAGGAGTATTCATTTCACACTGTTGACCTTTCCTTATTAATATAATTATATTAGCTCTTCGTGTTAATACTAGAAAATTGTGTTTGCTACTCTTTCTGTGTGTATATTTTACATGTTTAATAAAAGTAGTATTATATATGAAATTTTTTCAATACCTTTACAGTATTCAACTTGTGTTTGTTTCATATACTTTAATTCTAGTCACAAGCATATCTTTTTCTTTATGGCATTTTGTAATATGAATGAAGCAAAAACGACAAAAATGTTAATTTTTAAATTATTACGAGGATTTTTTTTTACAGAAGGTCTATACGGTATGGCCATTGCAGGAGGGGTTATTATCGGTATTGCAAGTATTCTCGGCCTCAGCTTTGCTATGGTCAAAAGAAACTAATTTATTCACGTGAAAAAGCTTATGACTATTGTGTGATATGAAATAGTTACTTTGTACAATGTGTTATATACAATTTGTTAATTAATATCACCAAAGATTTTATTTAAAAAAACAGAGACAGGACAATAGAAATAGTCTTGTGTTCAAATTAAGTAAACTGCAATGCGATTCGTAATGTAGAATGTCAAATTTATTTTTACAGAAAAACAAATAATACGTCATATAAGCAATACACGGTAATAAATATATATGTGTATTATTTTTTAGATTTTCGTAAACTCAATTACACTCTCTCATGTATCATAAAATCATATGTATCCTCTTTTTAGATTGTCAAAAATAATTTTTTAATAATATATACGTTAATTTATAAAAGAAAGACATTCCGAATGTTTCGTGTTTTGTTCTGTGTTTAGTTGTTTATAAATAAGATATATGTATCAATGATATATATGTATCAATGATTTAAAGTTATATTTAATTTAAATCCACGTACGTCAAAAAAAATATATTTATGCCGAAACCGCAGTGCAGATAAACATAGCTTTTGTATATAAAAATAAAAGTATTGTATTGTCTTATTTATGTGTATTGTTACTTAAATCTTTGAAATAAATATATTACGTCTATATTACATCTTATGTTCACTGATCTATATTCCACAACTATGCCCAATGCCTACATTATGCCTTAAATATTTAAATAAATATTGTATTGTTTGTATAATACGATCAACATATTCTCACACATGAGACACATCACAAACTATATGCCAATTTTTCTACAATATATATGTTTGTTAATAAATTTAATTTAGGTTTAAAACGGATCAATCTAACACTTTAACGATCTCATTTTATTAATCCGATGTATG